GGGGGGTGGAGGGTGAGAAAACCTGGATTTGTGCTGGAAATGGCCCACCTGTTGATCACTTTAGATAAGCTATTACCAGCAGGACAGTGGGGTGGGAGGAGGTATTGTTTCATATTCTCTGTGTATATATAAAGTCTGCTGCAGTTTCCATGGTATGCCTCTGATGAAGTGAGCTGTAACTCACGAAAGCTCATGCTCAAATAAATTGGTTAGTCTCTAAGGTGCCACAAGTACTCCTTTTCTTTTTGCGAATACAGACTAACATGGCTGTTCCTCTGAAACCTACTTTAATGTAGATAATCATCCTGCCCACAGATGCTTTCTCAGATTCGTGGTAGGCTCTCACCATTTTCAGTACAGAGTATTCCCCTTCAGAATAGTGACCGCCCCCTCCCCCCCAAGAGTCTTTACCAAGATATTCTTGGTACTGGCAGCCCATGTCAGACAGTGTGGTCTCATTGTCTTCCCCTACTTCAACGACTGGCTCCCTGTTGCCAACTCCTACCAGGAAGCCTATGCATCAACTTCCATGATGCTACACTTCCTCTCCTCACTGGGAGTCATCATAAATGTTGAAAAATCTGTTCTCACCTCCATGCAATCTCTGGACTTCATCAAGGCAACCTTAAATTCTATCACCACAAGAGTATATCTACCCAAGAACAGGTTCCAGACCATGAACAATATCACAGCTCACGTCACAAGCAACCCTTGAGTACCAGTCAAGACATGTCTCTCTTGCCTAAGTCATATGTCCTCGTGCACCTACATCACCCCATTTTCAAGACTCCACTTTTGTTGCCTTCAAAGTTGGCTGCAGTCAGTATACTTCCCAAGCCATCATTCCATAAATCTCTTGGTGACAGTTCTGGCCAAAGTACTGTCTTCCCTACTGCTGTGGGCAAAACCTTATCAGTTATGAGTGGGCATCCCTCTTCCTCTCCAGACAGGACCATTATTACGTTATTATAGATGCATCCTTATTAGGTAGGGGGACCCACATGAACAGCAACACAGCACAAAGTGCCTGGACATCTCGAGACTCCAGGATGCAGATCAATATCCCGGAGTTGCAAGCAGTCTGGAAGAAATGTCTTTTTTTTCCATTCACCTGCACTCAATGTGTCCTTGTAATGTCAGACAACATAGCAACTGTCTTCTATGTCAACAAGTAGTGGGGAGTGAGAACCACCTCCTTGTGTGCAGAAGCAGTCAGCCTCTGGAACTGATATATCAGCAATCAAATCACCCTATCAGCAGACGAACTTCCACAAAAGCAAAACGTGCTTGCAGATTCCCTCAGCAGATATTTTGGGTTTACCACAAGGGGAGTGCCATGATTCAGTACTGTGCAATATTTTTACTTTATGGGGAATTCCAACCAGGGATCTGTTTGCCTCTCAAAACAAACAGGAAATGCACCTGTTGCACCGACATTGCCACTCCCAGATGACACTCTGATTCTTCCTTGCCTGGACCAGTTCAACTACGCCTTCCCTCTGCTAACACTTCTGCCATGAGTTTGACACAAAATCCAGCAGGATTTTTCTCACACCCTTCTGGCCCAGACGGTTCTAGTTTCCCAACCAACTACATGTCATCCCAACCACCAATCATCCTACCAATATTCCCCAAGATCCTGACCCAGTGGAACGGCAAGATCAAGCACCCCAGTCTGTGTACACTCCACCCCAGAGCTTGGTATTTGGACAGGTATATTTATGCTCCACAGCTGTACAAGATATCCTCTCTTGTAATAGAAAGGACTTTACTAGAAAAAAATTACCTAGCTAAGTAGAAATGCTTCTCTTCTTGGGCACACCAAAGAGGGGTTCTCCAAGAGACTACAGATATTCATCTCATCCTGGACTATATCATCTCTTTGAAGATATCAGGTTTGTTCATCAGCATCTTGCAAGTCCACTTGATGATGATCAGCACATACCACCCACCTTCTCATGGCCACTTGGTCTTTTGCACATCCAGTCACCAATAGATTCTGGAAAGGCCTACTAGGAAAATTCCCACATATTAAGAAGCTTGCTCCCCAGGGGGCCTTAACCTTGTTCTCTCAGTACTCACAGGGCTCCTCTCTGAGCCTCTGGCTACTTACTCCATGTCTTTCCTTTCCATGAAGGTTGCTTTCATTGTAGCCATCATCTCAGTGATGATGGCAGATCCTCCATACACTATAAGGATAAGGTTGTTTTTTTTTACAGCTACACCCTAAATTCACTCCTAACATAGTTTCAGAATTTCACCTTAACCAATCCATTCACTTACCTGTGTTCTTCCCAAAACCACACATGTCCACAGAAGAACAAAGACACGACTCCCTCGATGTTTGGCAAGCCTTGCCTTTTTATCTACAGAGAACAAAACCAATAAGGAAATCCCCAAGACTGTTCATCGCTATAGCAGAAAAAGTCAGAGGGCACGCCATCTTCACCCACAGGCTCTCCAAATGGATCTCTTGACTGTATGCTACACTATCCATTTTTGCGCAACCCCCACCCCCACCTCCCCCCCTGGAGTAAGAGCTCATTCCACCAGAGTGGAAGCAACAACTATGGCATCTGTTCAGGAGGCACCCCTCCTGGACATCTATAAAGCAGCCATGTCGGGCTCTCTTCACACATTTGCAAGACATTATGCCCTGGTCAGGACTCTTCCACTGATGCCTCCTTTGGGGCAGTGGTATTTTGCTCAGCCCTACAGCCTCGCACCCTCATCCTACATAAGTACTGCTTATCAGTCACCTACAGTGGAATACAATAGAGACCATCACTCAAGAAGAGGAAGTTACTTATCTGTAGCTGGAGGTTCTTCAAGATGTGTGGTCCCTCTCTGTATTCTACTACCTGCCCTTCTTTCTCTCTGCTTCAGATCTTATCTGATTTGTGGTAGAGAAGGAACTGGAGAAGCGGTCAGTCTACGCTGCCCCTTATCCCCTTGGTCAGAGGCACAAGGTGAGCCAGGGCACATGCGCAGGCCAACACACTCTGCTTTCAAATTCACCGTCTCTGGGCATACGATGCTGCATGCATAACCCACAATGGAATACAGATAGGGGCCATACATCTCAAAGAATCTCCAGTTACAGATAAGTAACCTCCTCTTCTGGTGTTCCCTTACCTAGACGATTGGCTTCTGAAAGGTTGCTCCCAGGACAAAATTTCACAGGCAACTTGCAAGGCCATAGATGTCTTCCTCAAACTAGACCTGCAACTGAACATTCAAAAATCCACCTTGACCCCTATACAAAAGTTAGAAATCATACCTCATCTCCATTCAATAACAGCAAAAATCTACTTCAAATGCACAGATTTGTGGCCCTGTCCAACATAGTCAATACAGTCTAGATCAGTACTCAAATCCCAGTCAAAAACTCTCTTCAGCTATTGAAACATAGGGTAGCTGGTACTTTTGTGATAGACCATGTAAGACTGCAAATGTATTGCCTTCATGCGTGGCTCAAAACTGTTTATTCTCTTAAAAGACACAGCCTAACTACAGGTTTCAGAGTGGTAGCTGTGTTAGTCTGTATCAGCAAAAAGAATGAGGAGTACTTGTTAGTATTTGTCATATTCTCTAAGGTGCCACAAGTACTCATTCTTTTAGTCTAACTACACTAATTTCCATACCCACCTTTGAAAAGGAATCTTTCAATTGGTGGAAATACTCTCAAAATGTTTGTGCAGGAGTCCCTTTTGTCTGCCCTCCCCCAATGGTTGTTATAACAACGGATGCATCACTGTGAGGTGGGGAGCACATCTGAACACCCACATGGCCCAGGGAAGGTGGATGCCTCAAAAGCCACTCTCCACATCAACCGCCCAGAATTTAGGGCAGTCAGATATCCCTGTCTCCAGTTTCTACCACTAATCAGGGGCAAATGCATAAAGGTTACTCCTGGGGGAATTCTGCAACAAAAAATTTAAAATTCTGCGCACAATATTTTAAAATTCTGAATATTTTATTTGTAGAAATAACACAATATAATCACACCAGTTTCAATTATTTTTGGTCATTTAGTTCAAAATACCTGTCAGCAAGTATGTCTGTTAACAATAAAGACAACAAAAAAGATTCAGAAAATGTTTTTTGACAAATAGATTTCTTACTAGGCATATTAATACAGAATTCTGAGTAATAATTCATTTAAACTACAATACAGAACCATATTCTTCCCCCGCCCCCCCGAACCAGTGCAAAGGCTGGGGGGAGTCAGGGGTAACAGAGGAGCTGAGGGAGAGGAAAATAATTGCTGGGAAGGTGGCTGGGTGTGGGTGGGAAAAGTATGGAACAGGTTTGGGGGGGGGGGGGCGGGACTGTTAGGGAGCTTCCCCCTTGCAGACTCTGGCTGACCCCTAGCCTCTCCAATTCAGTCAAGCACGTGTGTCACTCCCCCCATCCCCATCTGTCCTTGCACTCCCATCCCCCTGTGTCTCTGTGCCCCCACTCAGCCACCTCCCTTCTCCCTGTAGCTCTGCACTCCCTCCCCCTCCGCCCATGGGGCCCTGCGCCTCCACTCCCATTCAGCCCCTGCCCCAGTCTGTCCTCCCTCACTAGCCCTTATGAGCCCCTGTCTGACCCCCTCAGCAGTCCCATGCTGTCTGCCTCCCCATAACCCCTGTCCCTGATCTGGCCCAAAAGATGATGTGAACAAAGGCAGGCTCTTTCTCGCCCCTAGCTAGCTGGGAGTGGCTGCTATGTTCTATTAACAGAGCGCCCTCTGGTGGGCAAAAGGCAGAACTGCAGAAGTTATTTTCTGCTGGGACCTGCTGCTATGTTCTATTGCCACAGTACCCTCTGCTGGGCAAAAGGTGGAACTGCAACACATTTTCAGCAGAACCTTTTTTCTGCGCAAAAAATTAAAAATATATTCAACTCATTAATTATGCACATGCACAGTGGTGCAGAATTCCCCCAGGAGTATAAAGGTCATGATGGACAACATGTCATGCATGTTCTATATCAACCAACAAGGAGGGGCAAGATTCTCCCTCTGGGTGTGCCAAGGCTGACCAGCTTTGGAATTGATGCATACTCAATCAGATGGTCCTCACAGCAGCTTACCTTCCAGGAGCTCAGAATGTGACCACGGATACATTCAGTAGGCACTTCTCACAAGACCATGAGTGGGTAATAGATTCCATTGTACTTCACCGCATATGTCAACTATGAGGCACCCCTCGGATAGAGCTGTTCGCCACAAACAAGAAATGCACTCAGTTCTGCCCAAGTGACAGGGTGGGTCACCAATCTCTCTAACATGCTTTTCACCTTCGATGGTATTTGGGTCTTCTATATGTGTTCCCTCTGGCTCCTAATATCCCAAGTTTACTCAAAATAAAGAAGGACAAAGCCAGTATTATTCTAATAGTTTTGACTTGGCCCAGACAGACATGATTTCCTTACCTCAGACAGTGGGCCATTTGCTTGCTCACCAATCACTTTCCAGCTTGCCCCTCCCCTTCTCGCACAGGAAGATGGGAAGATCCTTCACCCAAATCTCAAGAGGTCTTTGCCTCAACACATGGCTGGTTAATGGATCATGGGATTAAAAACAATCTGTTAAGGCAAAGTGAAAATAGAGTGTTATTACACAGCAGAAAACTGTTTACTCTTCGTTTCAACTATGGCCAGCTCCAAAGTGTAACTGTCCTCTCTCTTGGGTTCAGGCCACCCCCTTTTGGAGGCATTAGGAAATTGGTATGCCCTCCAGCAGGTCATTGGGCGGTCTGACTTGCAGCTGCTTAATTGCCCAAATGACAGTTCAGGGTGCAAAAAGGAGGATTCAGCACATCACCAGTCAGCTGGTAGCCCTGGCCTACTGGGGTGGACACCAATAGTCTAGGGGCTTGAGCCCTCTGGACATGGGCACAGCAGTTAAACTCTGTCACTGACCTTCTAGCCTAAAGGATAGTGCAGTCCCGCTTTCGAGGGCTGGGGTTAGGGAGTAGAGGGACCCGGGCCCACCCTCTTCACCAGGTCCCAGCCCAGGGCCCTAGCAGTAGCAGATAATCTTGCCACTGGGTTGGTGGGGAAATGTGTGGTTACTGTCTTGCCTCCCGACGCACAATCAGACCAAAGTCATGCTTTCCTGGGCTACATCCTACGTGGTTCTGCTGGCACTACTCTGTCGCTTCTGGAACCTGGCTCTCAGTCTCACTGTCAGGTGGCTCTTCCTCCCATCTCTCCCCGAGGTGGTCCATATCCTGGGGCAGTGGGTTGCCTTTTCTCCCCACTACCACTCATGGGCTTCACTGAAAGCTCAGCTCTGTCAGAGGAACGTCTGCCTCCTTCCCTGGTCTGCCCAAAACTGAGCTGCAGGGCCATATTCTTATACTTCCTACTCCACCCCTACACTTCCTCAAGGGGGGCAAGGTGGGGTTGGCTGCACCCACGAGGGACGTTAACCCCCTCTGTACTAGATGGAAGTTGTTTTGCCTCAATACACAAAGGATCCACAGTCTTCACCAAGACACTCCCAGGATGGATCTTGGGGTGTATTATTGCCCATTATGACTTGGCTAGATTTAACCTCTTTCTAGAGTGATAACCACTTTTACAAGATCACAGTCTACATCTGTGGCATTACTCAAAGATGCTAAAATCTGCAGAGCTGCAACTTGGACTTCTATACATACTTCCTCCAACAATTATGCTCTGGTTCATGCCTCTAGGTCAGATGCTGCAATTAACAATGCAGTTCTCTTTTCAGTATTGGACTCTGTTCCAAAGCTCCCTCCTCTTTATGGGAATACTGCTTGGGAGTCACCTGAAATGGAGCACCTATAGGGACACTACTCAAAGAAGGAGAGGTTACTCACCTTGTGCAGTAACTGGAATTCTTTAAGATGCATGTCCCTAGGGGTGCTCCATTACACTCCCTCCTTCCTCTCTGTTCAGCGTTTTCTCTGTGAGACTTTGTGGTGGAGAAGAAGCTGAGGGCAATTCATCCACAAAGCCTTATATATCCTGGGAATGGGGCACAAGGGTGTATTGGGTGTATGTGGCACTGCTACTAAAAATCTCCAAAGATACAGGGGCACATGCACACCTGAAATGAACTACCCATAGGGACATACATATAAAGGAACTCAGTTACTGTACAAGGTGAGTAACCTCTCCTTTTCTCTGAAGGGAGACAGATCATCACCACATGTAAAAAAGGCACTGTCTGGAGAGAGAGAGATGGCAGGAGAGTCTTTGCCTAGCCTGAAATGCTGACAAGAGTTCTGACTCACAGAAGGGGTGAGATCAGACTAGAGGCTCGTAGAGGGGGGTTACATCTCAATACTTGTTATTTTGCAAAACTTGTAAGTCTAATGCTTTCAGAGTGAAGTGAATGTAGTTAAGAAATTCCTTTGCTAAGCAAGCCGGTGTTCCTTGCCTTCCTGCCTGGTTGGCCCCAAAGAGGTTAAATTAGATGCCCAGCCTGAACACAGTGCAGGAAGGACGCTAAGAGAGTGTGCATAAGCAACGAGGGAAGCTCTGGAGGTCTGAGGCACTGGCCTTCAAATACTTGAAAAGCTGCCATAAAAAAGATGGAGAAAAATGATTCTCTCTTGCCACTGAGGGCAGGACAAGAGGCAATGGGTTCAAACTACAGCATAGCAGATTTAGATTGAATCTCAGGAAAAACTTCCTAACTGTAAAAACTGTAGAACAATTGAACAAACTGCCTTCACTGGAGGTTTTCAAAAAAAGGCTGGATAGCCATCTGTTTTAGATGGTTTAGACACAACAAATCCCGTATCCTGCCAAGGGGGTAGACTAGATGACCCTTGCAGTACCTTCTAATCCCATGGTTCTATGATTCTATGACATAATTGTGCTCACAAAAGTCCTTACGGTATGTCTACGCTGCAATTTAAGCCCAGGTCTGTGGGATTCAAGCCTGCAAACTCAGTGTTTGTAAGCCCGGGCTTGAGAATCCACACTGCATATTGACCCTAAGTTTACAGTTTCTGGACCTGGGTCTTACATGTCTACACTACTATACGTAGAACATCGTCAAACTAGACTATCCCAGGCTTTCTAGTGCACTCCCAGCTATAGTTGCTCTAGCCATTTGTTTGTGGTGCACTGTGAGAAAACTTGCTTGTCCACGTCTCAGCACTTTACACAACATTGTCTCAGTGCACCAACACATCTAATCAAATTATTTTTTGGGTCTGCACGTTCCTGGCAACTGGTGCAAGCTATGTGGAGGAATCACCAGTTGAAGAACTTGTCTTGCTTGGGCTTTCTTTCCTGTTTCAGGAAATGGGAAAAGCATCCACAAGTCACTGGTGCATCCTTTGGTGGTGTTTTCTGATGTACCGAAGGCACGATACAGACATGGCAGACTCGAACTGGCTGTTGTTCACAAATCTCGGTATACCGCTACTGTCTCCTATGTAGACTGGCGCATCTGGAGCAGGGCCACGAGCACAGCCTGATGGGATTACATCGTCACTGGGACCTGGGATGACCAACAGTGGCGTCAGAACTTTCGCATAAAGCAAGCTACATTTCTGGAGCATTGTGAACAGCTTGCATTGACCTGCCAGCATCACAGCACATGTATGAGGACGGCCATGGTGGTCCAGAAGCAGGTGACCATAACCATTTAGAAGCTAGTTATCCCAGACTGCTATAAGTCTGGTGCTGACCAGTTTGGTGTTGGAAAGTTACCTGTGGGTAAAGTGGCGGTGGAGAGTTCTGAGGCAATCAGGTGTATGATTTATCCAAAGATGGTGGGCATAAACAATGTCCCTAAATTGCTGACTTTGAAAAAATGGTGTTTCCAAACTGCTCCAGGGCCATTGATGGGATTCATGTGTCTGAAGTTTGTTTTCCTCAAGGTGCACCTAAGCACATAAGCTGAAAGGGTACTATTCCATTGTTATGCAGACCCTCATGGACCACAGAGGCCGATTTATGGACGCCAACAGGGGCTGCACTGGAAAGGTTCATGATGCCGGGGTTTTCCCCTGATTGGGAGTCTACATTCTTGGATAGGCCAGAACACTATTCCCACCCAAGTTGATGGTCATAAATGGAGTAACTGTCCCCAATGTTATTCTAGGGTACCCCTGACTACAACCTTTTGTGTTGGTTTATGAAATTATATCCTGAGTCAGAGGCCCTGGCAAATTACACTCTCAAGTGTAGAACGGTGGTCAACTGTGCATTTGGCAGATTGAATCCTACTGGTGCTGTTTATAGAATTGTTTAGATTCCAGTGTCATCAATGTTGTCTGAAGTATTGTGGCTTGGTATGCTCTGCACATTCTTTGTGAATCCAAAGGTGAGCCACTTGCCACTCAATGGGCCTATGATAGTAATTGATTACTGATCTGGTACACTTAGACAGACGGTGCTCCTGTAACAGTTGGAGCAGGCTGCACCCAGACAAGGGAAGTCAGCAATGCTTTGTACTCCCACATTGTGAACTTGCATGGATCAACTGAAGAGGAAAACAGTATGTTTATGGTTGTATTTGTACCATGATTCTTACAGTAAAAGTAGTACTGTTGCTGTATGCTACGACTGGGGTGTGTGCGACTGTCATGAATTATTAATTGTGCATGAGATGACTGCTTATACCACGGTGGTTTGTATGATATGAACTGTGGCTTTTCATTATGGATTGCTCTGAATAGATGAACGGAGATATTGTTTGATACAGCTTCCCAGTTATGTCTTATATCTTTATCTTTCTTCTAAATACAAGTTATATGATGCAGCGATGGTAATAAAATTTATTAATAAATAGGGCTATCAAGCGATTAAAAAAATAATCGTGATTAATCGCACTGTTAAACTATAATAGAATACCATTATTTAAATATTTTTGGATGTTTTCTACATTTTCAAATATATTGATTTAAATTACAACACAGAACACAAAGTGTACAGTGATCACTTTATATTTATTTTTTATTAAAAATATTTGCACTGTAAAAAACGAAAGAAATTTTATTTTTCAATTCACCTAATACAAGTACCGTAGTGCAATCTGTTTATCATGAAAGTTGAACTTAGAAATGTAGAATTATGTACAAAAAAATAACTGCATTCAAAAATAAAACAATATAAAACTTTAGCGCCTACAAGTCCACTCAGTCCTACTTCTTGTTCAGCCAATCGCTCAGACAAACAAGTTTGGTTACAATTTGCAGGAGATAATGCTGCCTGCTTCTTGTTTACCATGTCACCTGAAAGTGAGAACAGGCGTTCGCATGGCTCTGTTGTAGCCAGCGTCGCAAGGTATTTGCATGCCAGATGCTCTAAAGATTAGTATGTCCCTTCATGCTTCAACCACCATTCATGCGTCCATGCTGATGACAGGTTCTGCTCAATAATGATCCAAAGCAGAACAGACAGATGAATGTTCATTTTCATCATCTGAGTCAGATGCCACTAACAGAAGGCTGATTTTCTTTTTTGGTGGTTCGGGTTCTGAAGTTTCCTCATCGGAGCATTGCTCTTTTAAGACTTCTGAAAGCATGCTCCACACCTCGACCAAGATTTTGGATGGCACTTCAGATTCTTAAACCTTGAGTCAAGTGCTGTAGTAT